AACATTCTTCTGGTTTTATCACAGAATGGTTTGGGTTGGACATTAAATATCTAATTCCAACCCCCCTGCAATGGGCAGGGATACCTTCAACTACATCAGGTTCTTCTAAGCCCCATCCAACCTGGCCTTGAACACTTGGGGGTGGGGAGGCTGACTCCCTGGACTCATAGTCTACCCAGCTAGGGTCCTGCCTTACTTAGGACCTGACCCTGAAGAGGCCCTTCTTGTACCTGGCAGGCAATTTCATCACCAAGTGTCTTGAGTGGCATCTAAGGACACTCAGCATTCACTGGTTCATTTTATCAGAGGATTAAGTCTTTGCATCCTGCAAGCACCTGCTCCCCTCCTCAACTTTCTGTGTAAAGCAGATGACTGAGAGTCAAGGATTTGACTGTGAGCCTGCTGATAATATGGGTACAAATGTCTTCAAAATAGGATTTGTCTCAAGTGCGAGCACCCAAGAGCAAAGATGAAAAGCTCAGGGTCTGTTTTCAGTTACAGCAATATAAATAGAGCTATCTTGTGCTTACAGGGCTGCAGCTGAGGGCAGAATCTCATTTAGCCTTAAACTTCACTATGAATTTGTCGGCACATTTCCACCACACAGGGGAAAAAAAAATAAGTAAAATGTTGCAGCTCTTATTTTTGTCAATATAATCTTAAAGAGAAGCTTGATCTTGCTGAGTTGGGTAGACTTACTTGTACTCAAGTCAGATGAAAGCTTTTGGGAAAGCTAGGCTTAACTCCTGCTGTAATCTGCAGATCTTTCCCTGGTGAAAACAGGACCTCAAGAAAAGAACAAAGAAAAATAAGCATTTTAACAAACAGTACATATGTTTTGACTTGATGCAGATGATTGAAGTTGGAGCCCAATATAAACCCAGGTAGTTGTATTAAATGGAGTTTTGCCAGCTTGAATCAGCAGATGGTGAGTATCTGGCTCATACTGTATTTTTGTAGTTTATAATTATCTTTCTTTCTTCACTTAGAACCAAATTCTCCCTTTAGGCTGCAAATCTTAATTAGGAAATCCTTCCTCATTAATTGCAAGAAACTCTTAAGTCGTTAATTTCACAGAAGAAAAAGAAACCTTACCTAGTTCTGCTACAACAGCAGATGCTGGAGCTGTCTGTTCCTTTGCTTTGAGGGTTGATGCTCTTCTTCTATCACTTCAGTCCTCACCCTGTCTCTTGCTGCACTGAATTTCCTTTATACTCATTCTTCTTTATCTCCATAGGGATGTCTGTGTGCTGAATGAGAGGGCCTAGGAGAGAACACCAAATCCAGCCACCTTCACTTCACAGCTGCTGTAGCAGTGAAATCTTATCCATGAAAGCTGGATCAAAAGGAACAGGCCAAACCAGAAAACTTCTCAGAAATTCCAAATTGCAACATTTTCCAAACAGGAGTAGATTAAGATTGCATCTTGGAGGCAAGTGCAGGAATCCACCTGTAATGCAGACTTTGAAATATCACAAACCAGCTCATCATGCCTTTCATGCTTACAGTCTTTCAAGTGGTTGATGAGTTCTGTATAAAAAAAAAAGATGTCCTCAGTAAAATTCGTCCTCTTCCTCCTTCCCCACGTCCAACAAGATGATTTCTGCCCTGTCCCACTCTGGTGCAAAACATCCTGTGGGAAAATTATCTGGGGAACTGACTGCACAGAACAGCCAAGGGTTCAGGAAGGAGCAATAGTCTTCCACAGCAGAATATTTCCTAGTGAGACTGCAGAAAGAGGAGGGTTTTGGGGGTTATTTAATGTGATACTTTAGCTTGTATTCCTTGTCACCAGGCACCCATGTGACTCTACATTGATAGGCCAGTTGCCCCTCAGCTTCTTGACGGTGGGTGCTCAGATTGTCCTTCACACATCCCTTCTCATCTCCTGTTTTTCTCTCGCCGCTTTCAAATGACAAAAACTGGCTAACTGGAGTGGGGCAGGACAGTTGTACCTGATATAAGGTGATGGGATCATCTTCAGTAAGCAAGGAAAACAGCTGTAAAGATAAGGGACTAATATCTGAGAACTCAAAATATTCAATGAGTGCTTTTGCTTGTAGCCAAAGTCACAGGGTAGAGAGAAACCGTCTGGGAGGTTGTTATGGAAACAAGTCCCTGGAGGTGCCTACTTTGCTTCACGAGGATGTGCTCTGCCTTTAGAAGGAAATAGCTAGTCAGACAGATTTGTATTTCAAATGTCCAGGAGTGAGTGCTAAGAGCTGAGAATCTGAGGTAAGATTTCTGAAAGCATCTTGAATTGGCGACAGGAGTCCTCCATAAAGTCAATGGCATGGGTGCCACTATGTCACTTCAGTCACTTGAACAAATTCCGAAGGCTCCTTAGTAAAAATATCAAATTTCAGAAGTTCTATAATATATAGCATTATTGATGACTGGTACTTCACTGCCATGCTTTTCAGGAGATGCTTAGAGAAGTATTTACATCCTTAGGTCCCCAAGTTACAGTTTCCAAACTCCTGTTGGCTTTTATATTGCTCTTAGATCTCACACAGAAAACCCAGGGAGCACACACCACTCCTGTTTTACACGCTCTCATTTGCACTTTCTTTTCAGAACTGAAAGATGTGGATTGTAAAAACTCCACAAAGCTGTTTGCAACAAAATTCCTTCACACCCGTGTTTTGTGCCCGCATGTGCATGCACACAGGAGTCTGTGTGCAGACAATGCTCCAGCCAGAAACACTGCTGAATTTCACCCAGAGCAGGGAACCTCTTCACAAGAGCATCTCTACAAGACACGCTCAGATTATGCTACCAGCAACTTGTCTCACATCTTATTTTCTGTCAGACTCCAAGCCCAGCTGTTGGTCACGCTGGTTGGGAGAACAACCTGTTCTGAGCAGGAAGGGCTCCTGCCTGGCAGGGGCCACGGGGTCAGGCCCAAGGGGAGACAGAAGCACGGGAATTTTCTGACGTAGACGCAGTGTGCCTCATGCCTCCTCCTGAACTTGTGCTTAACCTGAGTTTTTTATATCTTACTTTGGGGAAACTTTGATCAGCTGGTACAGTCAGGCAAAAAATAACCCCAAACATGGGCATTCTGCTAGGCAACAGCAGCAGCCTTGAAACACCCCTCTGAAATAGCAGGTTCTCTTGCTAGTTCCTAGTGCATCTGCTAAAGCAAAATTTGAAGAAAAGTCACTCTCTCACACTCACAGAAAACAGGTCATTATAGTGACCCTAAAACACAGCTAAGAACAACAGCAGCTTTTTACTGAGTTAACTCAATGACCAAGACAACTTTTTAGACAAAATCAACTGAGATGCCACTGTGCTGATCCTCCCTCAGTCTCATTCATTCACCAGGATTACTTACCCACCGGTTGGTTACAAGCTTCAAGGGCTGCAGAACAGCTCCCAGGGGCCAGACCTTCACAGACATTTGCCTCAGTCACAATGAACCAAAGAGAAATTAGGCACCTATGTGCTCAGGCAAACGCCTCGCAGCTCTAGAGCCCTCACCATATCATACTTGTGTCTCCCAGACTGACCTGCAGTACCTGAGACAAGTGGCATTGTGCTACTTAATTTCAGAGAGAAAGAGCAAAGGGTTTAATATAATGGTTGTGTGCTGACCCCGAGGGAGATCCCTACACATTAAAAACCTTTGACAACAGGACTCTGGAGAAATGCAGCAGTTAGGATTTACACAAACAAATTCTACTGTACAATCAGGGCCCAGATGAGGAGAGGCCACAATAAAAGCACTGTAGGCACGGAGCCAGATCTCAAGACAATGAGAAACAAGCAGGGTAACGAAGACACGAGCAGACCCCATCTCACAACCTGTTCTAACTCTATTAAACTGTACGCCTTTAGTGTTCTTAGCCTTATGGTTGAAAATTATAATCTATACATAAAATGTATTCTATACACTTTGCATCTTGTTGCTACGTCTGGTTTATGTATTACATGTGTCACATGCAATATGTAGTACATTCTAATATGCATATCATACAGCATGATGCAAGGCATTAATGGCTGCCTCTGCTTTCATACACATGCACACATGTGAATGCAGAATACACACTTAGATTTAAAACAACAAAGACTTTTCCTTGCAGGAAAATTTGCCAATAGAATCTGAAAGCATCCATTTCCCCTTCTCACCCACTGGCAGCATTTGAAATATTTAATGTTAAACGTAAGGCAGAGCTGATTTAAAAATAAATAAATAAATATATGTATCTAAGAAGCGAAACCTGCAGCTTAAAATGCAAATCTCTGGATCCTTGGCAAACCCAGCACTTCAGGCCAAGCTATGCATTTTGCATTGCTAGCATAAGTTGCTCTCATAAAACCTAGAGCACTCAAAAGGAACTGCTGTGCCTTCTATCCATGAAATACCAAGAAGTGTCTAGACCAGCAGTACAGCAAAAGTATTTCTTCAAAACGAGCTGTTTCTTCCCTCATTTGAAGAGTCTGGGGTATGCTGCTGGGTTTGTGCAGATGGCTTAGGGAAGTTTGTATCTGTGCCAGTCTAAATCTCAAATGTTGACACATTTACCCTGGGGCAATTTATGCTTGTGACCTGCTAAATCAGTGCAATCTTCAGACAGCCCAAGTGCAGCTGTCTGTGGTCAAGGTTTTTCAGCAATGTCGACAAAATACCAACATGCAAACTTCCCTCAGCTATACAAACACTTGAGTGAAAACACAGAGACAGTCAACTGATCTCACATGCCTCAGTCCAGAATTGGATATCTGAAGCACAAAGCACATCTCATTAAAGGCTATTGTGTGGAGATAAACTGCAGAGATAGCAAACGAATTGACTCAAATATGCCTCCCATCAGAAGGCACTTACCACTATGAAGATGAAGTTGGTACTATAAAAGCCAATTAACATCAGGGCACTGGCATAAATAAGGCTGACATAAGCCCAAAAGACAAAGAATCTTCACCAAGCCTGTTGATTTCTATAAGCCTGGTTCTTTTAAAGTAGCAAAGAGCTTTTAGACCTATGTGCCTGTTCCGAAACACAAATCAAGGGGATCGTTAGCATGCCAAGGGCTGCAAAGAAAGCAGGCATCCGCTTGCTGACTTTCCCCTACAGCTGCAGGACTCACTGTGATGCTGGCTACAGCGTTTCCATTATTCAAAGGCAATGGCATGGCAGGCGTGACTGATCCCACAGCCAAGGGCACTGTGCTGGCATAGGAACTAAGAGCACAGCTTGAGCCAGATGTTTGTAGCCCCTTTAACTGTTTACTCCCTGCTGAATCCTTCAGCTGAAGTAGCGGCAAGGGCTTCTCTGCTAGTGGAGTAGAGAGGCTAGGTTTCAGAGTAAATATTGGCTTAGAGCAGTCTTCAATACAGAGAAAGAAATTCACGAGGGAGTGGGGGATGACAGCTAGCACTCCACGGAAGAAAGCAAGAACATTTCTGGCTGCACACAGCAACGAGAAACAGCAAATCAGGACAGAAGAGCCCATTATCACAATCATTCTGTTTACGGTATCACAATTCACAGTCTGGCATGTAAATGCTGAATAGATCCAGCTGCTAGTAGGAAGACGGCTGTGCAGCAGCTTGCAGCTCCGTGTCAGGACCCAGGATAATAAAACCCATCACACCTCTGTCAGCATTTTCTTCTCTTTGTAACTCTGGCTGTTGGGAGGAATGAAGTTGGAGTATTTCATGGACTCTAGGTCTTCTGCCTCCAGGAATTCAGATTTGCTGAGAGACTGATTACTATCCCCCTTCTTGGGCTCAGAGAAAGGTGACTGCTGCTGGCCACAGGTGACGTGGGTGTACTGGCACTGCTCTTCATGATCAGTCTCTCGGTGGTAGAAGTAGTTGAAGTTGGACACGATGACAGGGACAGGCAGGGCAATGGTCAGCACACCCGCGATGGCGCACAAGGAACCCACAATCTTGCCACCAATTGTCATGGGATACATGTCCCCATAGCCCACGGTAGTCATGGAGACCACTGCCCACCAAAAAGCATCAGGGATGCTGGTGAACAGGGAGTCAGGGTCATCGGTCTCTGCGAAGTAGACAGCACTGGAGAAGAGGATCACCCCGATGAAAAGGAAGAAGATGAGGAGGCCCAGCTCCCTCATGCTGGCCTGGAGAGTCTTCCCCAAGATCTGCAGCCCCTTGGAGTGCCTTGAGAGCTTGAAGATCCTGAAGACTCTGACCAGGCGGATGACCCTGAGGATGGCCAGAGACATGGCTTGTTGCTGGCCACCATTGTTGCTGCCACCACCTGGCTGCTGCTTCTGCTGCTGCTGCTGGGCCAGCTCAGTGCCCAGGGTGATGAAGTAGGGGATGATGGCCACGATGTCAATGATGTTCATGATGTTGCGGGAAAACTCGGGCTTGCTGGGGCAGGCGAAGAAGCGGACGAGGAGCTCAAAGGAGAACCAGATGATGCACAGAGTCTCGATGAGGAAGAAGGGGTCTGTGAAGAAGGGGCCAGCGCCAGCAGCAGGATGCAGGGGTGGCGGAGTCCCGCTCGGCGGCGGCAGAGGCGGCAGCAGAAGCGCCTCATCTCCCGGCGGTGCCGCCTCCCCGAAGCCCGTCTGGGTGCCCTTGGGCTCCTGGCGAAACTCAGGCAGGGTCTCCAAACAGAAGATGACAATGGAGATGAGGATGACCAGCACGGAGACGATGGCGATGGCCCGGGCCGGCCCAGAGCTCTCGGGGTACTCAAAGAGCAGCCAGACCTGGCGCTGGAAGTGGTGCTGGGGCAGGGGCTTCTCCTCCTCTTGAATGAAGCCCTCGTCCTCCCGGAAGGTCTCGATGGCCTCCTGCCCTAGCTGGTAGAAGCGGATCTCCTCCAGGAAGATGTCAAGGGGCACATGGACCGGCCGGCGGAGCCGCCCCCCGGA